ACTGGAGGGTCTTCAGGCTACTCTGTAAGAGTGGCCGATGGAAGCCCAGCCCACCTCAGCCTCGGGTGTCCACAGGTGTGCAGAGCTGACAGCTCAGGGCATGTGGGTGGGCACAGCGTCTGCCACAGGGTAGGCCCCTGAGCTGGATTTGGGGGATGAACTAAAGGTCTCAGATGAGGACTGAGGCAGTCGGTGGTAACAAGCCTAAGAAGAAAGGGGAAGGAAGCAGGAGGGAGCAGGAGGTGATGGAGCAGGAAGAGAGTCAGCCAGTGACCACCCTGAACTGGTGGCTTTGAGCTTTCAGAAGGGAGAAAGACAAGGCCAAGACCAAGACAGAATGAGGAACGTCATGGAGGTGGTATGGCTGGGAGAGAGGCTGAGGAGTGATGGGAATTAGGCAGAGAGTGGAAAGCCATCTCCTCCTACCATCCTGAAAGACTGGGGCTCTGTCCCTCTGTCATATAGGAAGCCAGTGAAGCCAGAACAGGACAGGCCTGCCCTGACCCCTTAGCAGGATGCCTCCAGTGAACAGCCTGCAGGGTGGGGTGGACACAGGGAGGCCAGCCAAGTGGCCAGTGCCACAGTGCATGGAGATGGGGCCGTGAGAAGAGGGGGATTGTGGGTGTGATCTGAAGGAAGACTGGGCGTGACCGAGGGTGATTGCAAGAGGTGTTAAACAAGTGCACCCACAAAGATTTACCAGGTGCCACACGCTATTGAGGAAAAGCCTGGGGAACCACAAGGGAGAGTCCCAGGCTGTCTTCAGGGAACGGGTTTCCTGGGGAAATGGCAGTTGAGCTGGACCTTGAGGGATGAGGTTGAGCTGGACCCTGAGGGACGGGGAGAAGGCAGCCAGGCAGGGGCAGGGGAAACAGAATCAATGGCCCAGGCAAAGGAGGTGCTGCCCGTGGACTGGAAGTCAAGACAGTCCACAGCATCTGGGCCACAGCCCAGGTCTGTGACCTGCCTGGGAGTCCTGCATGGTGGGACCCAACCTTCCCCCTTGACAGTGACAGCTGTTAGGTATCCACTGATAGTCTCCTCCTATCTCATTGTCTGTTGGACCCAGATTGGGAGTAGGGCTTTCCCAAAGCCAGGCCCAGACCACCATAGCACAAGAGTTGTTGCAAAGATTCAGTGGCTACGTGGCCTTCAACAGCATGGCCTGCAGGTGGCAGTGTGGAGCAGCTCAGGGTGCTCTACTGGCGAATGTCCACTCTGGATGGGGGATAGCTGTATGAAGGTGCTGCTGTTATCTCAGGACTGGCCCAGGGTGGGGAGAAATCTACTCTCACCCTCTGGGCCAAACCACCGAGAAGCCAACCCTCAGACATGAATGTGGCTAGTGTGGCCACCCTGGCCTCTCTCTTTCCCAACCAACCACCTGCTCTGCCATCCATAGAAAATTCAATACTGCTTCTGGCCAAAAAGAAAGGACAGTGGAATGTGCCCTTTATAACCTCCTTCTGTCCTGTTGAGATTCCACTCCTGGGATTAAGAGTCTCCTTTGTGGGGGTTTCTCCAAAATTCATGGCTTTTCAGACTGAGTCCAAGATCTTATTGCAGTTAGGCTCAGGAATTTTGGAATGCAAAAAATGCTTTTGTCTCTACCTCCCTTCTACCACAGCCTAACTGTGGGCAATATCTTGTCCCTGTAAATAGTCTAAGGTCACAGCACAAAACTCATGAAGCCATTGTGTCATGGCCCAACAAGGCCCCATATCTAATCTGGAGGCCGTCACCTGCATCAGCCAATATTCCATGACTGCATGGCTGTTAGGAACACCTGTGAGTCAGGAGCAGCTGGCTAGAGCCCCACCCTGCAGGTGTGTTTCAGATTTTCACTGCTGTGACCAAAAGACCTGACAAGAACAATTAGGGGAGGAAAGATTTATTTGGGGACTCATAGTTTCAGAGGACTCAGTCCACAGAAGGCCAGCTCCATTCCTCAGGGCTCAAGGTGAGGCAGAACATCATGGTGGAAGAGTGTGGGAGGGGAATATACGCCCCAGGAACCACCTCCTCCAGCCACATCCTACCTGCCTATAGTTACCACCAAGTTAATCCCTATCAGGGTAAATGCACTGATTAGGTTAAACCTCTTATAACCCATTCATTTCACCTCTAAACATTCTTGCATTGTCTCCCACATGAGCTGTTGGGGACACCTCCCATCCAACCCTAACTAGGTAGAAGCTGGCATCCACCTAGGACTATGAATAGCAGCTTCCCCAGATGAAAATGTTCTGAAGTGTGTCAAGCACCTCGGATCCATGAATCATAACCGTGGTTGGGTTTTTTGGTTTTGTTTTGTTTTTTTTTTTTAGATGTTCTTTATGAAGTTCCTGAGAAGATAAAATTGATCTTTGTGTCTCTTTCTCATAACATTTTTTTTTCCTAGAGCAAAAGAGTGGCATCGGGCGGTATTCTTGTCTCACACGTAGACTTCCTAATGATTCTTTCAAATTTAGGCACAGACCAGGAAGTTTCTCCACTTGTGATCATGATGGGCAGATGTCTGGAGGCCTGGGCTGGTCCCACAGTTGAGGGGTCCCCAGTGGAACTTGATCGTGAATTTCTGGCTCCTTCTCACAAATCTGCCTTAAAATTCCTTCCACCCCCGGCCAAAGGGAGACACCCTGATGTGCCACTGTGGTTCGTGTTTTATCGTCACAGCCCCAAGTTCACACCTGTTTCCCTCGGTGAACTCCCAATAGAGGCAGAGCACATGGGCTCAGAAAACAATACCCCAAAATTTGCTGCTTTAGACTTCAAACTGAGAGCTCTTGGGGAGCACAGCTGCAGGGAGGGTTTTCTCTGAAGCTCCCTTATCTGCCCAAAGACCAGATTTGCCAGAAAGGAACACAGTTGACTTCCAATCTTACTGAAATTCCATTCCCAAGGAATCTCAGAGTTGAGATTATACGTGCGCATCCCAAAGCCTACAGAGCCCAGGCCTGATGATCAGCAAGACCTACCTGATCACATCTGCTTTTCTGTACTAAAGATTGTCCTCTGACTGCACAGGAAGAGACTAAAAATCAGACACCACACTCAGAGCCCAGAGGAACTTTGTCCCAGACCATTGATTGTTCCCAGGCTCGTTCTCTCCCCTGAAAATTCTTTCCTCCCCCTGTCGGATCCCCCTCCACTTCCCTCTCTCCTGTGAAGAGAGTATTTCAGCCTCAGCCATCTGACCCCTCTTTGAGTTTCATATTTTGTTTAGCACCTGTGCACTTTAAATGAATGCATCTGCCGCTTCTGTCGATCTATTGCCAGTTTACTATTGCGCAGCAGACTCCACTACCCAACCAGAGGAAAGTTTGAACTTCCCAACAAGCACAACCATATTCAATACCTTTAGGTTTGAAGCAAAAACGTCAGGACCACCTCCCCCTCATCTTCAATGCATGTGCTCAGTTCTTAAGAGCACGTACTCGAGCTGTGAGATTCCATCCTGTACAAATGAGTTACTTCTGTGGGAAAGAGCATCACCCCGTAACACAGCATCAGGTAGAGACATTGACATTTCATCTCTTTATTCATTCAACCCAAGTGTTGGGTGCATATTCTGTGCAAAGCACAGCATTAGGGACAGGAATCCAGAGACCGCTGAGGGGGCTCACTCTGCTAAGGCAAAGACTCTGGTGCAGGGTGGCTCACTCTAATTGTGCAGCAAGGGAGGCTGGTTCTCAAAGAGGGAGTGAGGATGATTCCTAAGCCTCCTCTGCTGCCAAAGAAGAAAACTGCAAATCCCATTTTCCCCTAGAGCTAAGGACCAGTCTTTCCGATGCACTGGTCCATAGTAAAGCCCTTCTCAAATGCCTTTTATATCTCCTTGGCCATCTTTTTTTTTTTTCTTTTTGATATCAGGGATTGAACCCAGGGGCCCTTAACCACGGAGCCACATCCCCAGCCCTTACATTTTTTATTTAGAGACAGAGTCTCACTAAGTTGCTTAGGGCCTCACTAACTCACTGAACCATGCTTTGAACTTGTGATCCTCCTGCCTCAGCCTCCCGAGCCACTGGGATTACGGGCATGCACCACTGCGCCTTGCTGACTGTTAGGAGGATCATGCCCACAGGATCTCACTCGTCTCCCCTTTTCTTCTGAGCCCTCCTGCTGTTCCCCATGGACATGGTGACTCTCCATGAGAGTAGTGAGTGTGGCCCCACCAGCGCCATCACATGGGGAACCTAGTGCGTGGACCTCCTTCCATTGCTTGAGTATCATTCACCACACTTCCGGAACCTTCCGGTTTTATGCGAAACCAGGTTCCCATGCACACCCCATTTCTTTTTATGAGTTTGACTCTTAACTTTTAAAAATCAAACAGAAAGCCTGCTCTCCTTGCTGTGCCTTTGAAAGTAGCAATAACTCATCCCCGCACCTTGCCACTTACATCATTCCTCTCCAAAGGACTTTCTTCTCCCTCTTTGCCTGGGTACAAATTTCCTTTATGCAGAAGGACTTTAAACCAGAAAATCTACAGATGATGAAAACATCAGCCACAGTTTATTTCCTTTATGTATCGGTAGTGAAAATGTACCATTTTCCCCCAAAGCTGACTTTTTTTTTTAAATATGTTTTTTAGTTGTAGGTGGACACACTACCTTTATTTTATTTATATGTGGTGCTGAGGATCAAATCCAGGGCCCCACGGGTACTAGTTCTACTGCTGAGCCACCACCCCAGCCACTCCCCAAAGCTGGCTTTTACATCCCGGAATTAGAACTGACGTGCCCTTGCCTGATTCCTGGGTTAACCAGGTGTGGAGTTGAGACAGGGAAGGGCAACCTTCCACCTCTTTGCAGACCTGCCCTCGGGGAGCACAGCCGCTGCTGTAGGAGCTGCATCTGGCTCTCAGATTCGTTTCTCTCCCCTTCCCACCTCCCTCCTTCCAGCTGGCATCAAACTTGGATCCCAGGTGCTGTTTTCTGTCACTCTTTCCTTGGAAAAATGACCAATGGCCTTTCATGTCTGTGCTTGTTGTTTAGAAAGCCAAGCTTGGGCCTGCGGGTAACAAAGTGATCAGTCCTTCTGAAGACAGGAAACAACCTTCCAACAACCTCGACAGAGTGAAGCTCACCGACTTCAATTTCCTCATGGTGCTGGGGAAGGGGAGTTTTGGGAAGGTAAGAAGTGGAGGGGCTTGGGCAGAGAGTGGTGGGTTGGTTTTGTTCTCCCTGAAGTTTCCAGAATAGCCCTTTAGACCTCCCTGGGTATTTGTACACGTTCCTCAAATGCTTCCTACTTCTTGTGATTAAAAACAACTGTATCCAGAGCACTAACAGCAGGTTCTCATGCGTCACCTGTTCAGAACAGAGAGGATGTTCCAAAATGTTAGTTGAATAATTTGCACAACTAAAAATTAAATGTGGGGTCATATGGGGTGGTGGAGCCGTCAGCCTGCATTCCTTCACTGGGTCTCAGTGGTCCCAAGACTCACGACCACTCCAGGAACTGATTTCCATCCTGCCTTTTTGAGTTCCAGGAGAGTGACGTTATAAAGGTCCATTGCATATACCCTAAGGATGTTTCTGAAAACTTGCATGAATTCAGACTAATCCTCATAGAGAATGTGAATATTCCTTTTAGCAACCAAAATAGCAACCCCAGGTGACAATAGGTATGCAGTGCAAATCTCAATCATTTAGAAGTTATACAAGTTCTGGAAGAATCTAATTTGTGGTGATGCGCAACATTTCCAAATTTGTATGTAAAGTTGGTATTCATTTTTCATCAGTATAATGACATGCTTGAGTCAATTCATTTATAAAGAGAAAAGGTTTATTTTTAGCTCATGGTTCCAGTCCATGATTGAGTGGCCCAGTTGCTTTGGTCTCTGGTGAGGCAGCACTTCATGGTGGGGCAGTCTCTTTGCCTTGTCAGCCAGGAAACTAAGAGAAAAAAAATGAAGAAACTGGAGTCTCACAGATCCCTTCAAGGGCATGTCATTCCCCAAAAAAACTCAAGGACTTCCACAAGGGCCCCACCTTCCTGAAGGTTCCACCCCTTCCCAAAAGCATCACCCTGGGGACCAAAAGCCTTTACACAGGACCTTCAGGGGACACTGCGACATGCAGCAAAATTAGCTAAGCAGTTTCCTATCCCACGGTTCAGACTTGCAGCTGGCCCGGTTCCTCCCGTGTTCAGGGTGCTCTGGGTCTGTTCCCAGGTGATGCTTGCTGACAGGAAGGGAACAGAAGAACTGTATGCCATCAAAATCCTGAAGAAGGACGTGGTGATTCAGGACGACGACGTGGAGTGCACCATGGTGGAGAAGCGGGTCCTGGCCCTGCTTGACAAGCCCCCATTCCTGACGCAGCTGCACTCTTGCTTCCAGACGGTGGTAAGGCCCGGGGGCTGCGTCTCTGAGGCCTGGTGCCCACCTGCCCTCAGCATCCCTGGGAGAGGCAGGATGGAATGCCAAGCCCAGGGGACAGGGACAGGTCCCACCCTTCTGGCAATGGCAGATTTGGGTCATCCCCCTCTGTGATGTCCTCTGCTTGGCACTCATTCCATTTAATTCAGCAAACATTTACAGTGGGCCTCTCCTTCCTGGGGCTCTGCATCCTTCATAGGTTCCACCAACCAGATGGAAGATATTTTTTAAATTGCATCTGATGTACAGCCACTCTTTTGGGGTTCAAAAAAGTTAAGAATTAATTCACAGTCCTGCCTCTATGAGACTGACGACTTGTCCAGCTGCCATGCACAGCTTTGGGACCTCAGGAGATGCCATTTTATAAAAATGTGTGTTTGTTTCAGACACTCAACAAGAGTGGCAAACTAGGACCAGCCTTGTATGTCCCCTGAGCTGTAAGAAAGGTCACCAAAAAGAAATCCAAACACAGTATTTCATGACATGTGAAAATTAGATGAAATTCATATTTCAGCATGCATACATCGTTTTCTAGGGACACAGCCACACTCAGTCACTTACCTGTCCCCTGTGGCTGCTTTCATGCTAAGACGTCGGAGCTGAGTAGTTACAAGAAACACACAAAGCCTGAAATACTTATCGTCTGACCGTTTATGGAAAAAGTCTACTAACCCCTATCATAGAGCAAAACGTTTTGGAAGGGGTGGGCAGAATCCCAAAGCACTGATCTGTCAGCTGTGGGGTTGGCGATTGTCCTATAAGAAAACGAGACCTTTAGACGGCACCAGGTGGGCTTTCCCTTTAAATATGGCTCAATGGTCAGTGATCATTGTGGTTGGGACAGTTACTATTTCCAACCGCACCATGGTCAGAAATCGACTTGGTGTCTTATGTGTGTCTTTAAAAACCCCTGAGAAGGGCCCTCGTGCTTTGGGTCTGTAGAATCTCAAGATGGCCACAGAGCCACACCGTGTCAGCGCTCCAGGAGGCTGCAGAGCTGGGCGCTGGCCACTGTGTGTCAGCTGCGCTCTGGCCACACCCCGGGCTCCTGCCTGCTCTCAGCAGCACCCAGACTCCCCGCCCCAGGAGTGGCAGGGAGGGCTGAGCAGCAAGGTGGGAAGGGAAGCAAACCCCTAAATCCCAGCCCAGCTGCCGTCACTCCGCTCACACCAATTAAGCTCCAGAAAGCTACGAAGCAAAGACTCGAAGCCGATATTGAAGTTTCTAACTGAAGAGCCGGAGAGTGACGCTCCCCGAGCCGTTTCCTGGCTCTTATCACCGGCTTCACTGTGCTGCCTTTCTCCCTGAGCAGCACTTTAATGTTTAATAACCTCTGTGAAAAGGGGATGTTCTCTAGCAGAGAGCAGAGGTCAGCTTTTACCTCGTGTGCTGAGATGTTAGCTGCTCAGCCTCTCCCATCTCGCCCAGCGTAATGTCCTCATAAATATGCACACTTCTCTGGTTGTATGATGAATGCCCTGCGTGTGGCCAACACCTCATATACCAGTAACAGAGAAAATGAAAATACAGGATTTGGGGACCTAGTGGTTACCAAAGAACATTGGATTAACTTCTCCTGTTATGGTCCTCCTTCTCCCCTACCTGACAGATGTCATTAAGCAGGTACAATTTAGAAGCCCAGCCTAATCCAAGGGGTGAGTTTTCAGAAGATCCATTTGAGCACATTACCACAGCAGCATGCCACCCTCCTTGACATTGCAAACCAAGTTTTACACACTTGCATCATCAAGAAACATTGGTGGGAATGAACTGATTGGCCCATATGGATTCCTCACAGTGCGCCTGGCTTAGAAATATATTATGCATGTAGGGAAAAAAGGAAGAATGTTTGAGGCCGTTACTGTAATGAGGAATGTATGTAACCAGGAGGCAGACAGCCATTAGTTCAGAGTTATGTAATGAGCGTCCATCCCAAGGCCCTTGTGCAGGAGGGTATATCGCTTATTCTTTAGCTGGGAAAAAAATGTGAAGGGCTTCAAACTGAGCAGATCTGCCAGCGCAGCCCAAGTTTGACTAATGAGGATGCAAACCAGGCTACCTATGGGGAAGGATCCCTGCTCACGTGTACACCTTTGTCTGCAGGATCGGCTGTACTTTGTCATGGAGTATGTCAACGGCGGGGACCTGATGTACCACATTCAGCAAGTAGGAAAATTTAAGGAGCCACAAGCAGTGTGAGTATTTTTTTTTCAGTCCTGTAATTCAGGGGGCCCAGTACTGTCAACTGGGAACTTCTACTAGACTGGATGTCCAAGATGGCCCTGCTCATTTGGGAAACTTCCCAAGGGAATAGATGTGTTAACGGGTCCCTTCTAGATGTTTCCACAGGAGCTTTTTATTCTGTTGCCTGTAAATTGGAGATGCTGGTGCATACCCATGCCACCCTGTGCCACCCTTAGGGGTAGAGTCCCTCACTGCTCATTGAGCGAATGAATATTGCACACCCACGGTGCACCAGGCACTGGACACGTGAGGATGAGGCTCCCCCTCCCTGGGAAGCTCATGCTCTAACCTGGCTTTTGAGAAGTCACAGAAAATTATAATGCATGGCTCCAACTGTGGGGAAATGCCCAGAACACAACCCAAGCCCCCCAAAATTGGGGGTTGAGAGTAGCAAGTCTTCAAGTAATGCCCAACCCAGAGACAGGCAGGCCAGGAAGAGGATGTGGACAGAGGTGAGACCAAGTCCAGGCCTGTGGCTCAGCAGGTGGTGTGAGCCGGGAGAGGGCACAGGCAGGGTGGGGGGCTGAGAAAGAGGACAGAGGGGAGGGGCTTCACTGGGACTTGACCCCATGAGACCAAGTTCTCACAGCACCCTCTGGCTGAAGAGGGGAGCTGAGTGGGCAGGAGGAATGTAGGGGCTGGTACAAAGGGGTCAGTAGGGATCTTTTTAAGCAGACGAAATGGAGCTGGAATTAGGGCTTCAGCTTGGAGCCAGAGAGAAGCAAGCATCCTTAACAAACATTCTGGAGGAAGAAAAGCAGAATTCGGTGACAGAAACGTTTGTCTGTGATGTCCCAGCTTAGGCTTGGGTGAGGGCAGCTATCAGGAAGGTTGCGGTTTGCAAGGAAGAACCGCGAGCTCAGCTTGGAGTGTTTCTGTGGGATGCGCCTTGGATGCTGGGATGCAGGAGTGGAGCCGCGGGCTCCGTGTGGGGATGGAGGAGTCATCATGGATCGGAGGAGGGACTTTGATACCTGGAACACTGTCCCATTTCTCAGAGGCCAGGAAGTCCCTGGAAACTCAACAGAAGCAAACCTAAGCAAATGGCTATTTTATTTCCCCAAATTAGATGTACACCCCACTAATCAAGTTAGCCAACATGAATAGGAGTCCGGCCACTGTTCATCTAAAAAGATAAATCAGAGCAATCTTTGGCCTGTGCGGGATTATCTGCCCTAGGAGAGATTAACTGAAGGCACAATAGGGAATTCTTTGGTAGCAAGCTTTAAAAATATAAAGGGGATTTTTTTTTCTGCTTTTATTTGTTCTTAAATGTGTTTTAGAAATGCCTGCCTTATCTCCTCTCTTAACATTGTGAGTTATAGAGCATTAAAATGCTCAGATTGCAGAATAAAGCTTTAGAGCACAGAGCTATAAGAGCAAATAGCCACTTTATTTTCTTCTCTTCCCTCCCCACCCCTGGACTGGGGATTGAATCCCCGGGCTCTGTACCATTGTGCAACATCCAAGCCCTTTTTATTCTTTGAGGCAGAGTCTCACTAAATTGCCTAGGCCAGCCTGGCACTTGTCATCCTCTGCCTCAGCCTACCAAGGTGCTGGGATCACAAGAGGGCACCTTTTTGTCATAAAACAACATAAACATGCCTTGCCCAATCCTCTTTTAATGTATGTGTGTTACAGAAAAGTTTTTTTTAAAATTACGGGGGGAAAAAAACCATGAAAATTGTAAAAATCAGCCATAATCCTATCTCTTCTGCCAGCCTCAGAGACGGTGCCCCATTCAAAGCCTAGCATTCACCATCAGAGATTTCACTTCTCTGCTCTTGTAAACAGTATGTGTTTACTTTAGGTCTCCCGGGTGTGATATTTGCCCAGGCGCAAACTTGTGGTTCTTCAAACTTCAAAGACTCTTAAATGCTATGCAAATTTCAAAACATCCCTCTACATTTTCTCAGAGTTTCAGATATTAACCTACGAATGATTTGGAAGGGATGGTAGTAGCTGCTCTTATTATGAATTATGTAAAAGGGCAGACTCAGGTATGAATCATGGTGTATGTCCCATTTATCCCAGCACTTCAGCGAATGAGTGAACTAGCTCGAGTCCATCACAGCTGCCTTTGTCATCCAGGGAGTAATTGTATGTTCAAACACCAGTGCATTCTGCCCATGAATAGGAAAATGGAAATTTACTCTACTCTGCCATGTTTCCTGACATGGAATACTCTCACAGGTAGCCACTCTTTAAATGATTCTATTAGAAAGTATTTTGTCGGCAGCAAATTCGCTAACCACCTTCCCCAGTGAAGAAAAATAAGCCTGTCTCATTGACACGGATGAGCTGGAGATGGCAGAGAGGGGCTGACGGTTGGAAGAACACCTGTGGGAGGATGTGATCTTGGGAAGCCTAAGGTCTTACACTCTTTTTATCTCTGATGCCTGAATGTGAGACTCCAGAAGATACAGAAGTCTTAAGAAGCCAGGCAGAAACCCGAACCATTTTCTTTTGCAGATTCTATGCAGCAGAGATTTCCATTGGATTGTTCTTTCTTCACAAAAGAGGCATCATTTATAGGTGTGTATCTGAAGCCCTTCCAGCAGCAGCACAGTGGAGAGGTTTGCTGTGCCTCCCTGGGCATGTCATTCTGTGATGGGGACTCTGGGCATGGCATGGTGTGGGTAACCCCCAGGGAACACAGATCTGCTGGGACTACCTGTCTCTGCCACCTTGAGGCAAACCAGAGTCACTTCTGATCTCTAGACCTGAAAGATTTTAGATCTCGTTGTTACTTTCCATAAGAAAACATGGTTTTCTCTCCTGACAGCTCCTTCCTCTGCCATTTGTTGGGAATGGAGGTCAGAGCGATGGACAGAGAATTGTCACTATAGATACTCAGCAGGAAAAGAACATGGGGAGCTGGGGAAAAGCAAGGGGGAGCTACTGAGTCAAATTCCTTTTTTCATTATCTGCAGTCCAAGTGTGGCACCAGAGAGAGAATGTCTTCCAGTATTGACTGAAGAGTACCTAAAAGGACATTGGTACCAGCGGGAGGAAGGGTGTGAGGTGGTTTGAAACTCATAATTTCTCAAACCCGGCTGTGATTCAGCCCCACCCCACCCTACCTTGTGCACGATAATGAATCAAATGAGTGGGATCCCCTCAGACCTCATAAATTGGATTGTCTGGATTCCTAGGAACAACCATTCAATGTGCCAGTTCCTACCATATCCCAGACTCTGTGTGAGGCTCTGGAGATATAAAGACACAAGAACTCCTGGCCTCTGGTCTCCAGGGACGTACAGTTTAAATACCCCTGAGATGGCAACTAGTTAAGTATACTTCTGTTTCACCAGCTCCAAAGCAAACCCTGACCTGTCGTGGGAAGGACTCTGATGTTGTCCTGCTTCTTTGCAGGGACCTGAAGTTAGATAATGTCATGCTGGATTCAGAAGGACATATCAAAATCGCTGACTTTGGGATGTGCAAAGAACACATGATGGATGGAGTCACAACCAGGACCTTCTGTGGGACTCCAGATTACATCGCCCCGGAGGTAGGGATCCCCGGTCCTTCTTTTATAGACCAGGAAATCAAAGGGCAAACACAACCCCCACTGGAATATGGGGTCATTCGTGAATCACCTAGGTCCGTGTGTGGGTCATGGCCACCAAATAGACTGAACAATAGATGAACGTGTAGGAAGAGGAAATAGGAGAGCTCATTGCACACAGTAGGGCTCATCTTGTGAAACTTTGGTTTGTGTTAGGTGTGCATGTGGGCCAGCTGCGGGGTAAACCACATTTCTCTCGTGACCGTGGCCAAGGTAATTTAAGAGGCTCTGATGGGTGGGGGAGCAGCCTGTGAAGCACTCCCGGAAAAGCTGGGTTGCAAGGTGGTGGCAATAAGGGCTTTTATAGCAACCTCCAAGGAATGCGTGCTTCGTGCTACTTGATGTTCAGTGTCTAATTTAGGAAGAACCTCTGGGTTTGTTGAAAGCTAAATGGTTCCACGGTTTGAATCCTCCCAGCAGTGGGCTGTACTGCTGTGTCTTTGGTAGAACACGTACTGAGGAATCCTCTTCCTATCTTGGGAAGCTTCATGTGTGCCAGTGATAGAATGGTGTGTGACCCTGGGTCAACATGAAGGCCACTTCCTGTCCTCACACAGCCCTGCAGATGCAGCAGCCCTTCCCCACCTGCGCCCCAGCCTGATGGAAAGTGTCTTCGTCAGCTTTTTTTTGCCTCTGTGACTAAAAGGACCCAACCAGAACAACCGTAAAGGAAGAAAAGTTTATTTAAGGGCTCACGGTTTTGGAGGTCTTAGTCCACAGAAGGCCAGCTCCATTCCTTGGGGCTCGCGGTGAGGCTGAACAACATGGCGGAAGAGAGAGGCGGAGGGAAGCAGCTCACATCATGATCAGGAAGTAGAGAGACTCCACTCTCCAGATACCAAATATATATACCCCAAAGCTAAGCCCCCAATTCCCATTCAGCCACACCCTCCCCCTTCAGTGACCACTCAGTTAATCCCTATCAGGGGATTAATTCACTGATTGCGTTAAGACTCTCACAATACAAACATTTCTCCTCTAAACCGTCTTGCACTGTCTCACACATGAGCTTTGGGGGGACACCTCATATCCAGACCATAACAGAAAGTAACTGGTGCAAAGTCGGACCAACCTGAGGTCTTCATAGAGCCCCCCTAATGGCTGTGGGCAGTGGATCCCACATCTGTCCATCATAGTGGCCCATGCACTTGTCTCAGACCCAGAGAGAATTCCAGGAATGACAAGCTCGGAGTCAGACCTCTGTGAGCTTCAATCTGCTCTTGTCTGTGGACATTGGGAACTCAGGCCAGTCTCTTAGCCCCCCGCACCTGCCTTTCTTCAGTGGCGAGTTAGGGATAATGGCACATTCCTGTTAAGAACTGCTACAAGGACTAACAGGCCTCGTGCAACATTTGGCACCTAGTGGACCCTCATTATTTGTACCTAATATGACTCGCAATGATGGTCACTGTTCCAGAAAGAAAACTGAGTTTTATTCTTCTCTTAAGGGCTTTTTTGTTTGTTATTTTCTTAGACTACATTCAAACAGACTGCACTTGGGAAATCAAGTTCTGATGACATGGCCATAGGCGACATGTCATCTTGACATATAGTTATTGGAGGTTTTCCCTCAAAAGCTCACTCATTGGTACCTCCAGGCATAACCTGAACTTAAATAGTCACATTTTTCAATGTGACAAATTGATGGTATAATAAAAACTACTCCTCTGGATGTAGTGGGGATTCGGAAGCCTCCTACTGACTGACAGGTGCTGAGCACCAGGGAACAACCCACCAGATGCCATACAGATTGGTGACAGAGGATGGCAGCATTTCCAGGAGTGAAGGTGACTTTGACCCTCGTCTCCAGTAAGGCCAGGTCTGCCGATCACACGGTCAGCTTCCCGTGATGGATACACGCCAACTGCGTGACGGCACCAGGGTTGACAGGGTCCACTTTCCACAGAGTTAAGATTCACCCATTTGAACGGCTGGTCTTTGCTGCTCAGTGTCCTTCCTATGTATGAACTTCCTGTTGCTACTGCATCAAACAGCCACAGGTCAGCAGCTCGGAACACAGGGTGAACACAGAGCCCTGGAGGTCAGAATCAGTCTCTCTGAGTTAAAGTCAAGTTGTTGGCAGAGCCGTTCCTCTGGAAGCTTTCAGGGAGAACCTGTTTCCTGGCCTCCCCCAAAAGCTGGAGGCCGCCTCTTTCCTTCTCAGGGTGCCTTCCTTCTCCCACGTCCCCTGCCTCCTGGCATCTTCTGGCCCCTCTCCGTCTTCTCCAGCTCCAACCCCCAGCTTCCCTCTTCTCTAACAAGGACGTTTGGTTCTGCTGGGCCCCTGGGTGATCTGGGATCATCTGCCCACCTCAAGAGCCTCACCCTGTACCTGCAGAGTCCTTCTTACTATGAAAAGGTGACAGTGACAGGTCTTGGGGACGTCATTCAACCTTAATCACACTTTGGGCAGATCTGGGGAACTTGGGGCCTCTTCATACTCAGGGAACAGCCTGCTCTTGCTCCAGATGCCCTTTTCCAAAGCCTCCCTTCCTCTCTTCTCTTTACGCCCAGTAATAAATGGCGTGATCACCGTTTATTGAGTGCTTGCTGTGTACCAGGTGCCACAGATACTTTCCCTCATTTATTTCTCCTAACAAACCCCACCAGGGAGTTCCCATGGGGCCACTGTTTCAGCTGAGGTGACTGAGGCCGCAGTGCCTCATGTGAGCCCCCAGTGGTAAGAAAGTATGCAGACCACCTTCTGGAAGCTTCCTGTGCCACGCAGGTTGCCTTCAGGGATCCAGAAGCACATCCGGCTGCCCCTGGGTGCTCACCCTTGGCAGAAGTGGCACTCTGCAGACATCAGCAGGCACAGCTGTGTCTCGGTCCCGATGACTTTCCTGAGCCCACGAGCCTCTCTGTTGGGACAGAGTTAGTGTGACTTCAGGTCTTGTCTGCTTTGCTGGCCTTTTTCCTGGTTGCATTCAGGAAGTTGAGGCATTTGGCCTCAGGAATACCTGCTGTGTCGGGAAAGACCGAACAGGTCCAAGGTTTCAGGATTTTCTCAGAGGTTGCAGTCATTCTGTCTCCTGTGTAAATCTTCCTGTCAGGCAGGGGCAGCATAATTATCATAGATGGCATTTCCCCTAATAGGCAGAGCAGGGGCTTAAACATGTATGGCTATTTGTTCAGAAACCTTGAAATCGATTAATACTGTAGCATCTCTCTAACCAGTAATGACAGGGCCAAGGCTAGAAATGTCACTCACGAAGGCGGCTGGGGACTTGAGATGAACACCCACGGAAGGGGGGGGTGCTAACTCAGAAAATGATCCCTGAAGCTGACACAAAGGGTCCTCTTTGCTTTGACATGGAACACATAATTCCAGGGCCATGAGGGTCCCTGAGAAGGCGGAACAAAAGCTTCACGTGGGGCTGATCCTTCTGGGAGTTGGCCATTTCAGGATGTGAGACCCTGTCACAGCCAGATGTCTCTCAACGGCCGAAGAATCAGACTCCAAGTCCTAGCACTGTCCTCTCCTTCCTGGAAGAAGGAAACGCTGCACGGGAAGTGTCCCTCTGGTTGGTGTCCCTCTGTGTGCCCTGCTTTCAGGGCAGAGAAGCTTGCTTAGAGTGTGCCACGTGAGGTTGTCCTTGCAGACTTGGTAGGAGACCATGCAGGACCACACGCAGGGGACCTCACCCATGATGTGTTGCCGTCTACTCTGTACCAAGCCCTCTGGGCACATCTTCTTGTTTGTCACATGTTATACATGAGCAGAGGTTCCAAGACTCGCCCAGGATCTCACAGCTGGTGACAGGCAAAGGTGGATGTGGACCAGGGCTTTCTGACCCCAGAACCCATACATTCTTTTCACAGATAGCATCGTCTCCAGAGTTAGGGGAGGAAGGGCACTAAAACCAAGCACTCAGTCGTAGACTATCTCTTCTTGGGCGTCTCTGAGGAGAGGAGGGACCTGCCTCCTTCTGAACCGGGATCCAGGTGCTGAGTCATGACAGAGACACAATCAGTGACTCAGAATGTGATCCAGCCACTAATGCTGGACAAACCCCTGAGAACCAGAAAGGTGAACCAGAAACACCCAAGCCCCTACCCAGCAGGTGGCATCTGTCGGTCCGCACATTCATCAGGTGCCTACCAAGTACCTGGCACTGTCCCAGGCCTGGGGATGCGTGGCCAGTAGGGGGCCCTGGAGGAGATCTGCCAGGAGGGCCTTGGGGAGTTAGACAGGGATGATACAGCCCAGGAGAGATGTGGATTTCAAGACAGGGACAGGACAGTATTCCTCTTGGCGATATCAGATGTCACCTTTGCTGTGGCTAAAACCACTTGGGAGATCATTGGGCATGGTTGGCTCTCCTCTGCCTGGGAGCAGATGGGCAAGTCCAATGAGGGTTGGAGATTGGACAAGAGGGAGCAGGAGACCTATCCCCAGGGTGCAGCTTCTGCAGTCTAGCCCCGTGGGAATGCCAGGCCAGTGATGCCCATGGCAGAGGCCAGGCAGATGCATTTTTATATAAAACCCACCTGTTGTTCCAAGTGGCTCTACCATGTAGTAAAAGCAACCTTCACCATGAGACACAGCCAGGGGCCATCAAGTGTGACCTCCCTTTTGGAAGGGCCAAGGTCCCCTTTGCAGAGGGAGCTGCAGCTTGGGGTGGGAGAAAAAAGACCAAGTTATGCGCAAGAGAACAGGGAGCCGTAGCCTTACTCCAAAGAAGGCAGGCATTGGTGAGCTCAGCCTTGGCCAGGACCTCGGAGGTCAAAAGGAAGGGAACCCGGATTGTGGCTCTGTGGGACTTCAGTTGGTTCCAAAAAGAGTGAGTTGTTATGAGACACTAAGAGTGGCCCACCCCTGCACTTTGGCTTCCTGTTTTACCATGTGATCTCTTCCTCACACAACTGTACTCTGCCATGATGCCATCTGCCCTGTGACACTTCCAAGGGAGCCCTCACCAGAGCAGAGCAGATGTTGATGC